AATGCAATACATCGTTTGATTTCTTGACTGCTGCTTCAATCGGCGTTGATTGCGATCATGCACAGAACTTGACGAAGATATATAGGATATACATTATACTAGGCTTCCTTTACAAGATGACGTCTGTGTACACTCACTTCCCCATCAACGTTGTTATTCAGGAGAGCAAGTGTCTTGTAGAAATCCAAAACTTCTTGGGTGAAAAATACATCCAGAGTGTTCAGATGAGGCCAGGTGTTGCTTGTTCAGTATGTCAAGTCCAGAAAGATGAGTTAATTCTTGAAGAAAATGACATTGAACTTGTATCAAATTCAGATGCTTTAATTCAGCAAGCCATTTTGGCTATTTTGAATACTCCTCAAATTGATCTGCAGATTTAGCAGGATCACTATCACAATCTCAGCTGTGTTTTCTATAGAAATTGACAAACTAATTCTAAAATTCATATAGAGATGTAAGGGACCCAGAATACCAAAACAACCTTAAAGAAAAAAGAACAACATTTACTACAAAGCTATAGTAATTAAGACAGTTTGGTACTGGCATAAAGATAGGCATGTAGATCAATTAGATCAATGGAATAGAATTGAAGAGTCCAGAAAAAATCCACACATCTATGGTCAACTGTTTTTTTTTTTTTAATAGATGAATTTTATGACATCTTAAAAATATCACCCATAAGTCTAAGGATTCATCAGGCCTCATTTCTATAGTGGGACAGCTCTTAGATCTTACTCATCAGCCTGTTAAACTCTTCCTTTTTCAGAGACCTAGATACCATCCAAAAATTTTCTGATATCCTTGTTTTTAACTCTCGTAGCTTGCTGAATTAAAGCAGCTGAATTTGATACAAGTTCAATGTCGTTTTCTTCAAAAATTAACTCATCTTTCTGGACTTGACATACTGAACAAGCAACATTTAGCCTCATTCAAAACCACAGATGTATTTTTCACCCAAGAAGTTCTGGATTTCAACAAGAGACCCGCTCTCCTGAATAACGACATTGTTGTCTTTTGGAGCCCTGGTGGCACAGTGGTTAAGGGCTCGGCTGCTAACCAAAAGGTCAGCAGTTCGAATCCACCAGCCACTCCTTAGAAACTCTATGGGGCAGTTCTATTCTGTCCTATAGGGTCGCTATGGTCGGAATCGACTCGACGGCAACGGGTCTGGTTTTAATTGACTTAAGTATTTACCAATGCTTACCATTAATGAAATGCTGCAAACAGAGTCAGTCTTTGCAAGATGCATACTCCTGTCATCAATAATGGAAGCTTTTCCCAGCCTTTTGGGCCTGAGATATCCAAAAGGATCCCACTGCCTGGAGATGCGAGCTAGTGCTGCCAATTGTTCTGGGAAGCTTACACGGAAGATGATTTTCACAACCAATTTACCATTAAACCACTGCTTAAGTACAGTACTCCACCCTCTTTTTACGCTCTGTAGTCCAGAAACATTTCTTTAAAAGCTAGAAAACCTGTAAATGGGGGCAGCATGTTGACTATGTTATCAGCCACTTCATCGTTATGGTGCTGTAATGTTGTGAAAGCTGCCTTGTTAAATCCAGGAATCCTTTGGCAACTCTTCCTCAATAGATTTATCTACCAAAGAAATATATTCATTTAAAATAGGCAGTGGCAAGTGTATTCTCTTCTGTGTCTTTAAATACCTGGTAGTACTTGTCCATGAGTTTCTCTGTAATACCTGGAACTCTTCATCTATGATTCATTGTTGTTGTTGTTGTGTGCCATTGAGTCGATTCTGACTCATAGTGACAATACAGGACAGAGTAGGATTGCCCCATAGGATTCCAAGGCTGTGATCTTTATGGAAGCAGGCTGCCACATCTCTCTCCTGTGGAGCTGTTGGTAGGTTCAAACCACTGACCTTTCAGTTAGCAGCTAAGCGTTTAAGCACCGCTCCACCAGGGCTCCTTCGTCCGTGATAATGTCCTTTAAATACCCAACCACTGCATCGAATTCTGCATCAGAGGCAGAAGAGATGGACAGTGCAAAGCTCTCTTCCTCTGAGGTGACCACCACTGCCACATCCACCCAACCCAGGCCTGAGGCTATGCCCATGGCGTCCAACATCCATTGGTTACAGAGAGAAGAAGCAGAAGCATAAGGAGTGTATAACAGAGATCAAGACGACGAAGGGAGGAGGCGGGAATCAAAGAACAGGAAGAGGGAAAGGGAAGAAAGAATCTTAGTGCTTTGAGCAAATGGCTTTATCAAAGCAACACCACCAAACGCAAACTCTTATTGCAGGTCTAGTTCTTTTGGAGAGAACGTCTTAAAAGTGGACTCTGCAATTTTGAACTTATAAAAGTGAAAGTATTATATTGCCATCATTTTTCCTTAGATAGTGGCTGTGTATTTTGTCCAAAACCAGCATTCGGTAAGTTCTATTGCCCAAATGACTTTCTTAGGGCACTTTTGAGTGACTTGCCCTTTGTTGCCATAAAGCCAAATTTTAGTCCAACTTTCTCATTTTGATTTAAGTCATTTACCAAATGTTAACAAGAGGTTATCTCTGACCATTGGTATTGTGAATAATTTTTATTCTTTTTTATAATTGATTGCTTTGCATTGAACATGCACCATATTTATAATCTGGAAAAAAATAATAAAATTATTTTTATTTGGGGAAAAATATGTGACCCAGTTACAATCCCCATTACTGATTTAGGTCAGCATCCTGAGGAGCTGATATCAAGACTTCTTCACCATCTCGCAGGGACCCTCACCCAGGAGCTGGTGCTTGGTGTAGGGTTGGGGTGGTGAGTCACCCCCATTCAGGGAGAACAATGGTTGTCAGGGGGTGTCATATGACAGTGGTGACCAACTTTGCCTTGCCTCAGAAAATGCACATTCTGGCCCCATCCCAGCCCTCTAAACATTACGTTCTTGACTTTGAGGGGAGTCCTGAGCTCACTTCCTTCCTGTGCACTCAGGAAAAAAGTCTCAGATGGAACCACCGCTCCAGTCAAGGTAAAGGCTTTCATACATAGTGGTTGAAACATTAAAAAAAAAAAAAAAAAATTCTATTTCCTTTTTTATTGCCTTCTCAAAAAACTTGGGGAAGTGGAAGGCTCCTGTCAGGGTGATTGTTTCTTGACCTTCTGACTTGATCCCATACATAACACCTGCCTCAGATCCTTAATAAGTGCCCATGTCTACATTTTTAAATGATTCATCCAGAAGGGCAAAAAAAAAACAAAGAACCCTGAAAACAAGTCAGGAATGATGAATGAATAAACAGGTTGTGGAGGGAAGGGCACCTGTTAAAAAACTTGAAGTTACTCCCAGAGCGCCTGACAAGCAAACCCCAGAGGACAGTCTCTGGAATGAGGCAGGAAAGCCTATGGGGATATGGGGGATATCACACTTGAAAAACAGAAGAAGAAATGCTAGCTTGAGGTTGAGGTTTGGCTTAAATTGTGCTCTGATCCCATTGAGGACTGTACAGAGAAATCAGGAAGAGGATAACTGGTACTTGACTAAAGACTACCACCTCTCAGAACTCCTGGATCAACATGAGACAAATAAAAGTTCGTTTCAAGCCTAAGAATTAGTGGTAGACAGAAGGGGTAGTGGGTACTCTGGAATCTTAGAGGAAAGAAAGAATTAAAGGCCTCAGGCTCAGTCAAGGGTACATTCTAGAACATTCCATGCTACTTAGTGTAGTAGGTACAGTCAACGTTGAGAACCCCTAAGAATATATCTAAGAACCCCAGTTTCAGAATCACTGGCTTTGGAAATTAAACTTATTTAATGATAAATGTCTTTCAATTGTAAATTATAATTGCAAGAGACATTTTTTTTTTTTTTTGTAGCTAGAAAACTTTTTTAAATATTACCATCAAATGAAAACTTTTCTCAATAGTGTATAAATTTGCAGACATCTAAGTATACATCCAAGGGCCACAGTTTGAGAAACAGCTCTACAAGAACTGGCTCCCAACCCAGACACCATGAAATATTTCCTATGGAAATTCATCATTGTTGCAACAGTAGTAGTGCTCCCAATCTTTTTTTTCATCAAGGAAAATCCCTTTGATACTACAAGTTTCCTGTCTTTGGTGAGTACCGGACTATGGGTGGGGAAAAGTTGAAATCCCTATACTGAAAAAAAAAAGACATTATCTAAGGGTATTTGTGTGAAGTCATCACTAACACAGTAGGCATCCAAAAAAGAAGGAAGAACAGAAAGCTTGAGGAATCAAAGTACATTTTTCTTTGATGATAACTATAAGGGGTGGTGGCATCTGGAAAAGACAGAATTCAGGGCTAGGAAAAAAATAACACTATTTCTGCAGAGTTAGCCCTTATAGCAATTGATGAGGAGAAAAAATTCTTCTTTTTTTTAAGTTTTCCCATTTTAGAAAATTTCCCTTGACTTTCAAAGTTACATGTTTTCCCCAATTTTATACTTTAGGATTTTGAACCTCAGAGAGGTTAAGTAATTTCTCCAAGCCAAGAAAAATTCTGAGGAGTAGAGAAAATTTCACCAGAACTCAGAGAAGTCAAAGAGGAGAAAGAAAGGGGTGGAAGGGTGAAGTTCCACCAATCAGAAAGAGTTTAGACTGGAACATTGAGGTGGTTAACTACCTGGTCTCTATGTCTCGCACCTAACATATGCCATACCCTTCATGGGATTAGGTGACCCATATTAGACTGTAACAGTAGGGATGGCATAGACTGACATTGTCTCATTCCCTACATATAACCCAGGAAAGCTAAAGAAATCCCAACTACCTTTACCCCATGACCCATTATCTATACAAGAACCCCTAGGATAGAACTTCTTCGAAAAAGAGGAAGAAACAGTAGTGAATTGAGCCCTGAGCACCCTGCCCTGTATTTCTGGGGGATTATTTCATTACATTCTGCAAAGGGGAATCCACCCAGCCATTATTCCCAAAGGAGATGAATCATGGAGCTGAAATTTACCATTTTCTCAGGAGGAAAAGAGGATGGTAGCTTGGCAGAGAGCCCGGATGCAGATCAACCCTGGCAGAACAAACCACCTGGAAACCTTCAAAAGTATGCAGAAAAACTCAGAACCACTCAAAAATGTGAACTCCCGCATCTTGATTGGAGCTCCTCCCACGAAAAAAAGTGAGTGCCCACCAGGGGTATAGACCATGCAGGGGCAGATCAAGCAAGGCTAGAGAGGAAGGAGGGTGGAAAGGACAAGGATCAGATACCTGGGGAAGAACAAAGGGATGCTGAGAGGAAGGACCAGGCCTATGGAATTTAGAGACAACAGTAATCCTGAGCCCATTAATCTCGTATCCCTCCCCTGATGAAACCAGGGAGGAGAAGATGGGGATGGGAGGAGTCCAAAAGGAAACTCTGGCAAGGGGAACTGGGTAACAGGGAAGGGTTGGAAGGTAGCAATGCAGCGTCTTGGGTGGGGCTCTAGAGATCACCTAGTGCCTTGCTACTTAAAGTGTGGTATGTACTGTACTGACATCGAGAGCTTATTAGAAATGCAGAATCTTAGGTGCCGCCCCAGACCTACAGAGTCAGAATTTACAATTTAACCAGACCCCGGGGTGATTGATATGTACATTAAAGCTTAAAGCTTGAGAAGTACTGCTTTAGTAGATGATTCTGGAGAGCAAAGCCAGAGCTATGGCAAGTTTTCAAGTCAGGAAAGTTGATTTTCAGTACTTTTTAGATTCCTCCATATGATAGCAGGAGCCCTGGTGCTGCAGTGGTTAAGTGCTTGGCTGCCATCCGGTAAAGAAACCCATCCAGGGTCTCCGGCTCCGTGGGAGAAGGACCTGGCGATCTACTCCTGTAAAGATTACAGCCTAGAAAACCCTGTGGGGCAGTTCTACTCTGTCATGTGGGGTTGCTATGACTCGGAATGGACTCTACGGCACACAACGACATATGATAGAGGTCCTGTTCTTTCATCCTTGGTTTGGGGTTCCTGTCAGTCTTAAAAAAAAACAAAAACAAAAACAAAACCCTACATTTGTAGTAAAAGAACAAATTCTGCTTGTGAACTATTGCATAAAATACAACGTAGACAATATAAATTACATGAGAGTAAAAAAGTAAAAGTCCCCTTTTCTTTTCCATCCCACTCCCCTCCCCGGAAGTATAATGAGTAGCTGTCAAGAGATCTAGACATTTTTGTAGCATTTACATATATGATGACTGGAGGATTTAAAAAATCATTTTATATGTATTGTTTCGAGATTTGCCTTTTTCGTATATTAATATGTATATGTCTTGGAGATTTTTCCCTTCCCTCATTCTTTTTATTTTTTAAATTCTTTTTAGATTTAACGTTGTATAGTTCTTTTTTTTTTCCCCTCATTCTCTTTTAACTGCTGGCATTGACATAATAAATGTAGAAAAGTTATTTAACCATTCCTTATTGATAGCTATTCAGTTATATTCAAATTTTCTATAACCAGCGCCACAATTTATATATTTCTTTCTTCATATGTGAAAGGATTTTTGTAGGAAATATTCCTAGATGTAAAACTAACGGGTCAAAGAGCATTACGTGCTTTAGATTTTGACCGATACTGCCAAGTTACATGGGAAAAAATTTATAACCACATCAGTTTGAGTGTCCATTTCCGCTCAATTTTGCTAATACTGTTGATGTTCACCAATCTGAAGGGCAGAAAATGATATTTCTTTGTATTTGATATTTGTTTTTGTTTTATATCCCAGATTATTAGTGATGGTTGAACATCTTTTTACATGTGTAAGGTCATGTTTATTTATTCTGTGAATTGCCTGTTTATATCTTTTGGTCACTTTCCATTGGGTTGATTGCTTTTTGTTATTGATTTATAGACACTCTTTATGCATTACTAGTATTTATCCTTTATTAAATGTGTTCTCTGCTGCTCGTCCATGATTCTTTTGTCATATGAATAGTTTTAAGTCTTATACAGTCAAATCTGTCAATGCTGTTTATAATTTCTGGTTTCTGTATCTTGCTAAAGGAAATCAACTTCACTACCACAATTTTTTTTTAACTTTTATGTTTTTCTAATATTCTTATGGTTGTCCTTTTTTAGGTATAGATATTTTACATACATGTAATTTATTTTAAGTAATATGTGTGCTAGATAATTAATTTTATTTATAATTGGATATCCTGTGGTCTGAACAAAATTTATTAAGTACTCTGTTTTTTTATTCCACCTATATGAAATATCATCTTTGTCATAATTAGCTCTCACTTATACAGGGGTTTGTTTCTCAAAAAGATTTTATTGCATTGATCTTTTTAAATGTTTCGGCACCAGTTCCGTATGATTTGAACTTCTATTGCCTTATTATAAATGTTGTAAGAGTAAGCCCTTCCCCCAACTTGTTTTTGTACTTTTTCAAAAATTTCTTGGCTGCTCTTTATTTTGTCTCTTCCAGATAAATTTTTAAATTAGCTTATTAAGTTTCATGAAAAAAAAATACCGTTGATAGGGGTTGCATTAAATTTATAGATAAGCTTGGAAAAAATTGCTATTTTTATAACACTGAACCTTACCATCGATGAATGTGTTATGTGTCTCCATTTATCAGGCCTTTTACGTGCTTCATTAAAAATTTGTAGTTTTCTTTTATTGGCCTCTCCCATTTATGGCTACATAGATTCCTCTGTATATTGTTGTTTTTCATGCTTGATATATGACATCCTTTTCCATTGCATCTGATAATTGGTCATTGTAAGTCTGTAGGAATCCTGACACCATTTGTGTGTTGCTATTATACCTGCCATCTTAATGAACTCTCTTACTGGTTCTAACAGTTCATCAACTGATTCTCTTGAGTTCTCTAGGTAGATCATCATACCATTTGTAAATAGTTACAGCATTTATCGCTCTGATTTTTCCTATGATTTCATTGTCCATTATTGGTGAGAGTAAGCATCTTTGTCTTACTCCTCACTTCAGTGGGAATGCTTCTACAATATTTCATCCTTAATTATGATGTGTAATATGGTTTCTCATTTATATGTGTTAAAGAATAAACAAATTTCTGCTTTGTGTTTTAGGTTGCGAATCTTTCAGAAGCACTCTTATCTTAATCTCTTCAGAGAGAATATAGTGGGGTAGTGGGCTGCAGCCTCAAACAATGGAAATCTCGCTGAACTTTTCATAGAATAAGGGTACAAAGAGTTCAGCTTATGCAAGCGTACCCATCAGGGTTCAACCAAATAAAGAGAACTGTAGGAGATATATATTAAAGAAATTTATTGTAAGTAGTTGACTTACATGATTTAGAAAACATTACACGAAACATTTTATAGCCAGTGTCTGAATTTTGTTTTAATATTATTATGTCTAAGAGATTTGCTTCATAGACATTTGCCTTTTTAAAGGGGGAGTCATATTTCTCATTTAATACAAGAGGGTCTGTTATGGATTGAATTGTGTCCCCCAAAAATATGTGTTGTAAATCCTAACCTGTATGCCTGTGGTTTCGGAGCCCTAGTGGCGCAGTGGTTAAGAACTTAGATGCTAACCAAAAAGTCAGCAGTTTGAATCCACCAGCCCCTCCTTGGAAACCCTATGAGGCAGTTCTACTCTGTCCTATAGGGTCACTATGAGTTGGAATTGACTTAACAACAACGGCTTTGGTTTTCTGGTTTATGCCTGTGGTTATAATCCCATCTGAGAATGAATTTTCTGTTATGTTAATGAGGCAGGATTAGTGTAGGGTGTGTCTTGAGTCAATCTCTTACAAGAGATAGAAGGAGCAAGCAGAGAAGAGAGAAGACTCATGCCAAGCCAAGTGAAGACCGCCCAGGAGCAGAAGCTCAGAAGAGACAAGGACCTTCTTCCAGAGCAGACAGAGAGAGAAAGCCTTACTTTAGAGCTAGCACCCTGAATTTGGGCTTTTAGCCTCCTAAACTATGAGAAAATAAATTTCTGTTCTTTAAAGCCACCCATTTGTAGTATTTCTGTTAAAGTAGCACCAGATAACTAAGACAGGGTCTTTCTTATATTAGTCTAAGGAGCCCTGGTGGTGCAACAGTTAAGCCCTTGACTCCTAACAGAAAGTTTGGAGGTTTGAACCCACCCAGAGGTTCGGGGAGAAAGACACGGTGATCTGCTCCCATAAAGATTACAGCCTAGGGAAACAGAAAAACCAATCCTCAACTTTATATAGAACGGCAAGAGGCCTCAAATAGCTAAAGCAATGTTGAAAGAGAAGAACAAATGAGGAGGACTCATGCATCCTCATTTTAAAACATACTATACAGCTACTGTAATCAAAACAGCCTGGTACTGGTATAAAAATAGACACATAGACCAATGCAATAGAATTGAGAAATCAGACATAAACCCACACATCTATGGTCAACTGATTTTTGACAAGGGTGCTAAGTCCATTCAATGGGGCAAGAAGAGTCTCTTCTATAAATGGTGCTGGGAAAATTGGATTTCCTTATGCAGAAAAATGAAATAGGATCTATGCCTCACACTATGCTCAAAAATAAATTCAAAGTGGAATAAAGACCTAAACGTACAAACTAAAACCATAAAATTCTTAGAATAAAAAGCAGGGACAACTCTGTCAGGCCTAGCTTTTTACAATGGATTATCTAATATAAAAACAAAAGTACAAACAGCAAAAGACAAAATAAATCAATGGGACCTCATAAAAATTAATAACTTTTGTTCATCAAAATACTACACCAAAACAGTGAAAAGACAAGCTACTGACTGAGAGTTTCTTCAAAAACCATATGTCGGGGGCAAGGCCAAGATGGCAGAGTAGTCAGACACTTCCTGTGGTCTCTCTTACAACAAAGAACAAACAAACAAGTAAATCTGTTACATATGACAATCTAGGAGCCTTGAGCATCAAAAGCAAAGTTGAGGAATCAGACTGAGTGGCAGGGGGAGGGAGAGATGGTTCGGAAGCAGCAAGGACTTGCCAGACCTGACCTGCCCTTCAGGCCAGATCAGCTCGTGTACACGATGAGGCAAGCAGTGGCGCTTGGGAGGCATTTTCCACAAGAGGAGTGACCCAGCAGCAGAGAGTCTACTTGGGCATCCAGAACCAGTGAGAAGCGGTGCTTGATCAGTGAAAGATAAGTGCTTCTGTCTGGCCTACCACACAGATCAAAAAACACT